GAAGCTAAGAATGTGTATTCTGAATTTGTGAGGTGGAACAATCTATAGACATCTACTAAGTCCATTCGTTCAAAAGTTTGGTTCAGTTCTGATATTTCTTTGATTATTTTTGTCCAGTTGATCTGCCTGTTTGTGACAGTGGGGTATTGAGATCTCCCATTATAATCATATTAGTGCTTATTTGACTTTTTATGCACATTAATATTTGTTTTATAGAGTTGGGTGTGCTGGTATTTGGTGCATATATATTTATGATTGTTATCTGATCCCCTTGGATTGTTCCCTTTACAAGGAAATAGTGACTTTCTTTCTCTTAATCAATCTTGGCCTGAAATCCTCTTTGTCCTTAAATAGAATAGCTACCCCTGCTTTTTCCTGGGTTCCTGTCGCATGGAGTATTGTTTTCCATCCTTTGACTTTCAGTCAATGAATTTCTTTTTGAATAAAATGTGTTTCTTATCTGCAGCATATTGTTGGAGCATGCTACTGCTACTGCTTCTCCCTCTTCCTCCTCCTCCTCCTCCTCCTCCTCCTCCTCTTCTTCTTCTTCTTTCTTCTTCTTTTTTTGGTACTGGGGATCAAACTTGGGGCCTTCTGCTTGTGAGGCAGGTGCTGGAACCACTGACCTAAATCCCCAGCTCCTGGATCATGCTTCTTGATTCATTCTACCATCCTGTTTCTTTTGATTGTTGAACTGAGATCATTTATATTGATGGTTATAACTGATATGTATTGACTTATCCTTGTCATATTATTTTCCTGTTGCTGGTTCCTTTGATGGTTATAATTGATATGTATTGACTTATCCTTGTCATATTATTTTCCTGTTGTTGGTTCCTTTTTTTCTCTGTTTAATTACTTGCCTTGCCTGGTGGATTCATTCTGTTGGGGTTCATGGAGCTGTAATCCTCATTATCTCTTTCTAGAATGTCTTTCAGAACATTTTGGAGTCCTGATTTGGTGGTCATGAATTTCTTCAGGTGTTCTCTGTCACGGAAGTATCTTATTTCTCCATCTTTTGAAAGATAGTTTTACAGGGTACATCAATCTGGTTTGGAGGTTGTTTTCTTTTAGGGCTTGAAATACTTCACTTCAAGCTCTCCTTCACTTGAGGGTTTGTGTTGATAAGTCTGATGGGCTTTCCTTTATAGGTGATTTGTTTCTTTTCTGTAATAGTATTTATTTTATTTTATTGAGACAGGGTATCACTATGTAGCTCAGGTTGGTCTCGAACTCACAATATATCCCAGGCTGGCCTTGAATTCATGGTGATCCTCTTGCTTCAGCTTCCTGAGTGCTGGGTGTGCCACCATGCCTGACTGTAATAGCTTTTAATATTCTATTCTCATATTGAATTTCTGGAATCTTGACTACTACATGCCTTGGTGTAGATTTGTTTTTTATCATGGCTAATTGGAGTCTATATGCCTAACTTATCTGTACTTATCAAATTCTCATTTCCACTGGGAAGTTTTCTGCCATTACTTCTGTGAACAGACTTTTTATGTTGTTTGCACTATCTCCTGTTTTTTCATTGACTCCAATCAATCTTATGTTATTCTTCTTTGCATCACCTAGCAGCTGTTGGATTGATTTTTTTTGTAGTCCCTTGTTATTTTTAAGAAATCTTTCTTTTCATGATCACTAGCTGTGATCCTGTCTTTTATATCTGATAGTCTGTCCTCAATGCAGCGTATACTTTCAGTGGAATTTTTAATCTCCTGAATATCTGTTTGAATCTGTTTTATGGATTCCATTTCTTTCCTGTGTTGGGCATTCATGGTTTCCATCATTTTCCTAAATTCCTCTATTTTTTTTTTCTGAACCTGCTCTAAAGTCACTAACCTTGTCTTTCATTATGGCCACCATCTCTGTAGTTATCTGAGAGATTATTTCTGATTTGTTCTTTTTCTAGAGTCTGACTCATCTGCTTTTCTAGAGTCTGATTCATCAGGTATTTTGTCTCAGCAATGAGAGAAAAGAAACTAACACACTAATAAAAAAAAAACCCAAGAACATTCAAGAAAAAAAATTTTTTTTAAATGTTTACTTCAGGGCATGTCTCTGCTGTCAATGGTAGACAGAGTAGGCAGACAGAGCCCAGATCCATGTTGATTAGTTGGAGCAAGCCAGCCATAGATTTAAGGTGGGGTACTGGATAATCCCAGCAAGGCTGCATCTTTAGTTTCACTGAAGTTCAGATTGGTTTCTGGCTGTGAGCCTGGAACCCAATTTGTTCAGCTTGCAACACTACATGTGCTTTTTGACAGTTTGAACTCAACTCCTTCACTTCCTGTTGACTTGAACTTGGTTCTGCCTCACCCTGACACTGGGAGTCACTAAGTAGAGCCAGCATATAGCTGCTCTGAGTTCTGAGCTCAGTCAGCCTCTCTCCAAGATGGCTACCAATCAACTGCCCTCTACTGGGGGACATCCAGACCCAAATAACTCACCAGCTACCACAGTCTGCCAGGTCCACCACTCTGCTCCACTGGTGTATCTCTCCTCAGAAGACTCTGGGGTTGCCAGTAGTCCTAGGTTTGAGCTGCCCCTCCTACACACACACACACACACAGGGAGTCAGGGCTCAGAGAGAAAACACCACTTGCCACCTCCTTCTACGTTGGGATCTCTTTCTGTGGCCTCCCTATAGGTTTCAATTCTCCCTTCACATCCTTGCTGTATCCCAGGGACCTACTCCCCTCCTTCTTCTCTTCCTCATGTTGCTATATTCTAGTGTCAGGACACCAAATCTTGGAGAGGCTGTTTCTCTGCTGTTCACCCCTCCACCATCTTCCCAGAAGTCTTAAAAACAGGTTTTGTGGTACCCATGTCCCCTTCTGGAGTTGGATTCCAAGTTGTTTGCCTCTCAAGCAAAGAACTGAATGAGATGAGCAAAAGATGGTGACAAAGCTTATTTGAAAAAGTGAAAGTGAAGAGTGAGGGGAAAACTGACTCTGTACAGTGAGCTTGGGCCAAGTAAAAGAGGAAAAAGCAAGATAAAAGTACACCTAGAAGGGCCGGGGATTTAGCTCAGTGGTTTCGCCGCCTGCTGCGCAAGGACAAGGACCTGAGTTCGATCCCCAGTACTAAAAAAAAAAAGTACACCTAGAAGACACAGGGTGGGCTATCAAGAGGAAAGCCACAATAGTCCAATATAATGTTATGGGCCCACTGGCATATATGCAATTCATTGTTAACCAAAGTATCATTATGTGATGCATAACTTATCTGAAACAAAAAGGAGATTCATAAAATCAAAAGTTGCATAGGGACATTAATAGAGGCTCTTGAAAAAAGATTTAGGGCCTCATCTCTTGGTCAGAATGCACAGAGCCATCTTTTATAACTAACTTTTTTTTTTCTAGGACAGAGGATTGAACTCAGGACCTCCTGCATGCCAAGCAACTGCTGTACAATCCCAGCTTTTTTTAGTTTTATTTGTGAGACAGGGTCTCATGAAGTTGCCCAGGCTGGCCCAGAACTTCTTATTCTCATGCCTTAGTCTTCTGAGCAGCTGGAATTACAGGGCCTGCACTACTGATAGAGCAATACTATACAATAAGACAGGTCCTTGCCTTGCCTCCATGTTTTTTTTCCCCCACAGAATGTTTAGTTCCAAAAATGTAACAGTTTGTGCTGGGGGACAGCATTCCTCCCACTGTATCAAATGTTACTTGGTGTGGTGGCTCACTCCTGTAACCTAGCACTCTGGAGGCTGAGGCAGGAGGATCGCCAGGAGTTCAAGGCCAGCCTGGGGCCTATATAGTGAGTTCAGGGCCAGCCTGGGAGACCCTGCCTCAAAAAAAACGAAAAAAGAAAAGTTTTGTAACTAAAGTTCATGACCTCTCAGGAATGTTCTGTAACTCCACCCTCCTGCTTCAGTGAGCATACTCACCTATATAAGACCCCTATATAAGGAGGCTCCCATTTCTAGTCAAGCACTTAAACTTTGGAGTACGAACTCCATTGAGCCCATTGGAGTAATAACGGTTTTTCTCCACCTCTTTGAGTGACCATCAGATTGTTGAGTCTTCAAATTGTAGTAGCTGCAACACTGAGCTGTAACACTTGGCTGTGCCTCAGAGCTGTAACATTACCTGTTCCGCTTTGCCACACTACCACACCTGCTAATAATTTTTTTTCTTAGATTTAAGTGTTCCAGAGTTGGTAGGGTAGCTTCAAGGCAGCTGCTCTGATTCCTGTCATCCATACAGCTAGTGAGAAGAGGAAAATGTGCCAAAGGCTGGGCATGGTGGCTCACTCCTGCAATCCCAAGTATTTGCGAGGCTGACGCTGAGTCAGGATGATCATTTGTTCGAAGCCAGCCCATAATTTAGCAAGACCCTGTCTCAATATACAAAAACAAAAAAAGAGCTAGCATATAGCTTAGTATTCCCTGGGTTCAATAACCAGTGGTAGCAGTGGGGAGCGACCTAGGAAAGCATGCTAAATGCTTTGGGGGGCTAAAACCTGGAGTGGGTCACATCTCCTCCTCTTTGACCCTCATTGGCCAAAACTTGGTGACATTGTTACATATAGTGAGATGACCATGTGAGTAGTTATGCTATTAAAAGGGATACTATTCATATTAAGTAACAACTAGCAGTCATATTTTTCAGTATTTGTGGTCTTAGTGAGAGAACAGTCTGTGGGAATTAATAAGTGAATTTATTTTTAAACTTTATATTGTAACATACATGTTTAAAAGCCCACAAATTGTAAGTGGACAGAGTGAATTTCTGCAAAGTGAAAACATCTGTGTAGGGAGCTCTCAGGCCAAGAAATGCAGCACTGTCAATACTGCAGAGTCTGAATTTCATGGAAAGCCTGAGGCAATAGTCTGCAGGGAAGGAGAACTTTCTGGAAAGGTGCACCCCTTAGAGGACCAGATAAGGATAGTGAGGAGGAGGAGCTGCTTGAGCTAGGCTTCCGGTCTAGAGGACGGGAAAGGGCGGGGCCTGGCGGCGTTAAGCCCCAGGGGCGGGGCTTCCTGGCCGCCAGAACTGGTTAGAGTGAAGGGGCGTTAGGACTAGCGGTCTTGGAAGCGGCCCAGACTACCAGAAGCGAGTTGGGTGGAAAGGTTGGCAGAGTTTCAGGAAAGGAGGAAGCTTCGAGGCACTTTAGGGACCCCGGCAGCACCGCGTTAGGGGGCGGGACTTCGTGGCGTCAGAACGCACGCTGCGTCAAGGGGTGGGGCGGGCGCAACCCAAGATGGCGGCGAACGTGTTTCTGTTTCGGGACGCCCGTGCCGCTCCGGACCCAGTACTGCAGGCCGGGCCGGTGGCACACGGGCCGGTGCCACTGGTGCTGGACAATGGGTCGTTCCAGGTTCGGGCTGGCTGGGCGTGTCCCGGGCTGGACCCGGGCCCTGAACCGCGCCTGCAGTTCCGCTCTGTGTGCGCCCGCGGCCGGGGCGGGGCTCGGGGCGCGACGGGCCCCCAGGTGGGCAACGCGCTGGGCAGCCTGGAGCCGCTTCGCTGGATGCTGCGCTCGCCTTTCGACCGCAACGTGCCAGTCAACCTGGAGCTGCAAGAACTGCTGCTCGACTACAGTTTCCAGCACCTGGGTGTCTCCTCACAGGTGAAGGTGGGGTAGGCTGGGGTGTCGGGAGGGTTGAGGTCTCATCTCTATTCAGTCGCTCTCGTAGAGATGTCACTGCAGCTTTGTCATTGACTCGGTCGATCACCTGTTAAGCGCCCGACGTGTAGGGGTACAGCAGTGACCAAATAATGCTTTTGTCTTGGACCATAGGTCATATATGGTCGTTTATTGATTCATTTATTAACAAGTATGTATTGAACAGCACCGCTGTTGGGCGCATTTTTAGGCATTTGGAATACATCAGTGAACACACTGTGCTTATGGAATTAGTGTGGAAAGGTGCTCTAGTATGGAAAGACAGATGCTCTGTGCCAGGATAAGAGAAGAGGGAGTTACATTTTTTTCAATATGGTGGCCTGGTACAACTGGTGGGGAAGGTGATGTTTGAGCAGGGACAAAGGAGGTAATTGAGGAATAACCCCTTTGAATATCTGAAGGGAAAATATTTTAGTCAGAGGGAATGGACAGTGAAAAGGCACTGAGTCAGAAGTGTGGCATAAACTTAGTTGAAAGTACCTGGAATAGGTACTGCCTGGAAGAGGATGTTAGAAAGGTATGTGAGAGGACAAATCGCACACCTTATGAGCTTTTCCTCTGAGTGAAATGGGGAGTAATTGCAAAACATTGACCAGAGAAGGGATATGATTTATATCTCAAAATCATCCTGCTGTATAGAGAATGGACTGTTATGGAAACAGGGAGATCAGTTAGGACCCTGTTGCAGTAATCCAGGTGAGGGATGATGGTTACTTAGGTAAAAGTAGCAGGGGATGTTGTAAGTACTATTTGGATTCTGGAGATATTTTGAAGATAGAACCAATGTGCGTTCCTCAAAGTCTGGATTACTTTTGGCTTAATAACCTTAAATTTGACCCTACTTTCATATTTTCCAAAACAACCTTGAGTAGAGATTGCAATGAATGTTTTGTAATTGCTCCTTACAAGGTTTTTGAAGAGACCAAAAGCAAATTGCTCTATAATAAGGATTTGAGGTTCTTTTATGTTTTAAAAAGAATATTCTGAGGGTGTGGATTTAGCTCAGTGGTTCTGCTGCCTGCCTCGCAAGCGCAAGGGCCTGAGTTTGATCCCCAATACCAAAAAATAAATAAAAATTAAAAAATAAAAGAAGTATTCTGTTATCATTCATCTATTTGCCCTTTTCTTTCAAAGTAGGGCCATGTTGATCATCCTATAGTTTTGACTGAAGCTGTGTGTAATCCACTATATTCTCGCCAAATGATGTCTGAGCTCCTTTTTGAGTGTTATGGAATACCAAAGGTTGCCTATGGAATAGACAGCCTCTTCAGCTTCTACCACAATAAGCCGAAGAACTCAGTTTCCAGTGGGGTCATCATTTCATCTGGATACCAGTGTACGCATATTTTGCCCATCTTAGAAGGAAGGTGAGTTGTACTTGTGACATTTGAGTGTTATTTTGAGACACATTCAGGAAAATTAAGTACTTACTGTAAAGATGGAATGGAAAGCGCAAGTACTAGACTACAAACTGAGCTGGGCTTAGCTCTGACCTGCATCACTCTATGACTGTAAATACATCACTTTACTTGACCTTCGTGTGACCTTCTGGAGGGAGTTGACATAGGTGGTCTCTTAGGTCTAAATCCATAGTTCTAGGATTTTGTAATTCTGATTTATGGGGAGATAGCTAACACAGTACCTGCAGGTAGCAGACACTGAATAAAAATGTTTTGAATAGGGTGAGGAATGTAGCTCTTCCATAGTGCACTTGCTTAGTGTGCATGAGGCCCTGAGTGTGATCCCCAGCACTGGGGAAAATGTTTTTAATAAATTTCTTGAATAAATTTAATTTAGACTATCTTCTGGAGTCACTTATTTATTTAACTGTAAATCCCTTTAACCACCAATGTTCATACCTTTCTGTTGAGTTATAGTGCCTTACACATAATAGGCACTTAGTAAAACTTTCTGCGTTGACTAATAAAAGGCAAAGATATGAGACATAAGTCTTCCCACCTTATAGTTTGACTTTCTTTTATTGTCTGATAAAAGACTAGGTAAATCCAGGTGCACACCTGTAATCTTGGCACTCTGGAAGGCTGAGGCAGAAGAATTGTGAGTTCAACCCCAGCCTGGGCAACTTCATGACTTAGTGGGACTCTGTCTCAAAATTTTAAAAAATTTTAAAAGGGCTGGGGATGTAGCTCAGTGCAAAGGCTCCTGGGTTCAATCACCAGTACTACAAAAAAGGGAGGAAAAAAGGAAAGTAAATAAAAAAGAGGGCCAGGGATTTAGCACAGTGGTTCTGCCGCCTGCCTCACAAGCGCAAGGACCCAAGTTCAATCCCTGGTACCAAAAATTAAAAAAAATAAAATAAAATAAAAAAGAGAGACTAGGCCAGCCTTTGCCATCCTGTTTTCTTACGGTACATAAAAAGCTGTGGCTTTGGAGTTTGATACCTCCATTTGCAGCCCTGTTAAGGATGAGGTCCTTTTCTTATTTACTTTTTCTCATTGCTGAGACAAAATACCCAGTACCCACGAGTTAAGGGAGGAATGGTTTATTTAGCTCACAGTTTATAGAGGTTTTAGTTCATAGTTGGCTGGCTCAGGGCAGGGTGGCATGGCAGAGGGCCATCACAGAGGATAAGCAGCCCATGGCAAAGCCAGGCAGGCAGAAGGCAGCAAGCAGGAAGCTTGTGACAAGCAACAATGACCTCTTTCTATCTCTTATATTTTATCCGTAGCAGTTACACCCTTAATGCCAGTATCACATCCTTGATCCTAGCATCACACACCCTAGATCCACCCACCTCCATAAACCCCACCTGTGACTGCCTGAAGCTTTGGGGGGACATCTCGATAACAAGCCATAGCAGTCCTTAACCTTTTCCCTTAGTTTCCTAACATGTAAATTTGGGAAAAACCTGGTTTCTCAGGTTACCCTGAGGATGAAATGAGGTAACGTAGATGAGGGCAGTTTGTAAACTCTAAAGCATCCTGCATATTTAAGTCAAAATAAATGCCATTGAATTTATTGAAACCAATAATAGGGCTTTTTCTTTAAAAGTCTCATGAAAATCTGTGTAGACAGAAATAATTCTTAGGCATTACCAAACATTCCTAAACTGTGGAGGTCTATATTTAAGCAGAATATGCAAAAATAAGAGTAATATGTTATTTTTATTTTATATTGAGAGAAAATTATTTTACCTGAACAAAGAATAAACAAATTGGAGCATGTTTTATTCTATGCTGGCATCTCCTGGTAAGGTGTGACAAAGCAGCAACATTTCATTATGCACCAGGTTCCTGGAGCTCTGCTACTTTTACTTTCTCACATTAAGAACATAAAGTTACTCAGGTTCTCTCCTTTGGTTCATGGGAAAGGAATCTGGCCTTCAGAGGTTACAGTAAACCAATATGTGTGCAGTTACTTGATTTGATTGCATCAGTAGAAGTGGTTTGTATAAGATGGGAAGTTCTCAAACTCTTGCCTGTGTCAGAGTTGCTTGGGAAACTTAGTAAAATGAAGGCTTTTGAGGCCCACCCCAGAGCATATGGGCCATGGGAATTGGCTTCAACATTTTTCCCCAGTTTATTCTACAGTCCTTGATCCCAGGACCACAGTTTGAGAAATATGTAGTGAATCACATGAAGTAGATGGTGGCTGTTTGTAGACTATAAAGCGGTCTGCCTCATTAAGTAAAAATAAATGCTATTGAGTTTTTTGAGACCTATAGTGGGAGTTGAAATGTTTGTTCCTTTATAGAGCTTTATTGCCGTCTGAGACTGGCCAGAAGTCAGATGGCTATATGTATAAGTGTGGACTGGTAATTCTCACTTTGGGTGAGAGAATGTACCAAGGGAGCTTGAGTGTGTTGCAGCTGTAGGGTTGTATGTTCCTCCTGCTGATCTGTTTGTTTGTCTGCATTAAATTCTCCTGTTTACCCCAGAATGTTTCATATTTTGTCCTCCATATTGCCAAAAATTTCAGTGTTGCTTTCTATTGCTTGGTTTTAGGCTAGATGCCAAAAACTGCAAGCGTATCAATCTTGGAGGAAGCCAGGCAGCTGGCTACCTCCAGCGACTCCTCCAGCTGAAGTATCCTGGCCATCTGGCAGCCATCACGCTCAGCCGAATGGAAGAGATCCTGCATGAGCACAGCTACATCGCCGAGGACTATGGGGAAGGTGATTGAGGGGGTGTTTGCCTACACCTTTTAGATGGTATCAACCTTTGGGGTGTAGGATGTTCCTTAATTATTACCTGTGTGACTCTTGCATGCTCACTTTATATACTTCTTATTTTGTAGTACCCCTTCTCCCCTTTTGGTGTTCAATTGGTTTCTTAAACTATAGGAACTTACATAAATAGGTTCCCTTCACAAATGGTATCTTTTACACAGGCCTTGGAATTGTACAACTTTCACCTTTCTCCAGAATTTAAACATTTTTAAGAGGGAACAGAACTTGCTAGATTAAAAGCAGTTTAAATTGTTTCATTGCATCCTTAGAATAGAACCGATGCTCCAGAAGCATATCTTTCTCTTTTCTACTCATCTTGAATTTTGACTGTATTTTACATTGGTAATACTTTGTTTGCGGGGCGGGGGGGGGCTGTTATTGAAGAGTGAACCCAGAGCCTTGGCACTAAGATACATCCCTAAGCCTTTTTTTACTTTTTACTTTGAGACTGGAATTTCACTAAGTCTCTTTAAGTTACCCAGGCTAGACTTAAACTTGAGATCCACCTGCCTCAGTCTCTTAAGAGTGCTGGAATTACAAGAATGTGCCACCATGCCCAGCTACACTGGCAATACTGCTAACTAGTATTGTCTTAATCACGCAAATGTGATGAAAGTAATGTATTCCTCTTAAATTTAAATCAGGTAAAACCAAAGCACTATGAACAATACCATTGTAAATACAACTGTCCCACAGTATGTAGATGTAGTATGTTTTCTTGTTGGCATTGAAGGTGATGACTTCAGCTGAGCTCCAGAAAGCCAAAAGTGGTATCTTTAAAAATATAATAATAACTAGGCTGGGAATTTAGCTCAGTGGCACTGTGCCTGCCTTGCAAGTACAAGGTCCTGAGTTCAATCCCCGGTACCAACAACAACAACAACAACAACAACAACAACAACAAATATATACA